CTGGTACGTCGATAAGATTCGTCGCGGTTTCCAAACTGGTGGAAGTAGGATTGTTTGAGTGATGTAGGGAATGCTTTGGGCAGCGAATACGTCTGGCTGTTCGCGAGTACATCAGTTTCACAGTTGCCACTTGGATGTAATTGGGCTGATCAATGGTTCTCCGAAGAATTAAGGTACGATAAACGGATTTGATGATTGAGAAATCGGTAATGGTTAGCAAAGTCAAAGTATAGTACCCATTTTTCCAATATCAGTGAGTTCGCATTTTTTGCTCCCTCAAATCTTTGAAATAATGTCTCCCAGTGGCCCTAGTCTGCATTTAGCCACCATCGAATTTCCGGTATGGGCACATAGATCAACTTCCATGGCTTGCTCCAACATTCGCCAAACATGGTAAATTAATTTGGTCATAGATTCACTGGAGCGCAGGCAGTAATCAAGTCGCCTAGCCCATTCATAATCGTGTTTACTAGTTGGATAAGTCTGCAATCGTGCATTTTACTACCATCATCCCTATGGGCAACAGAGTGAGAAGGTAAGTTCAAATTGAGGTATTCTACAACGTGAACAACACATAAGATCAAGCTGCCCTCTTGGCCTCTGAGTAGAAAATGGATTGCAGTTTCAAGGACAGCCATCAAAGCTAAACGATCGGCATATCGACTCTGAATATAATGGGCACAAATTTGGTCAGTAAAACAGGAGGCGAATAATAAAATTTAAATTCCTTACAATAAATGAGTAGTATTTTTGCCTTAGACTCAGTGACTACAATTATATTGAATATTTAAGAAAGATCGACTAAAGTCAATATGGCAAATTAACAAACAGCTCAATGTTCCTTCTGTAATATTAACTAATAAGTACGTTAAGTGAGAAGATACCATTAGTTATAAGATAAGATAATTGTAAAAGTTAAATATTTATGAGGGTCTCAGGAATCGTAACTTCATCCATATTTATTTGATTCTCTATAGATAAATGACATGAAAAGAATAGATGAAGACCAAAGTAGAGAATTGAATTCCCTATCAACTGGTAGAAAATATGCTGAAAAAGAAATTGGTAGTATAGCACATCCGTTATCCAAACATCAATCACTTTCCGAGTGAGTATGCAATATGCCATTGTTACTCAATTTACTTAAGTAGCGCATCGGATACTGATTCGGAAACAGAGAAGCATATTGAAGCATTGAATCCACCATTCTCTTTCCCGAAAAGGAAATCACCTCCTAGTCGATCTTCATCCACAAGTGACAGCTCACAAAGAATCGGATTGCATGATTGGAGAGATGGATAAGCTTCTCGATTCTATCAAATTTGGAAAATGCGATGGAAGGTCAAAACAGGAAGAGGACTATGAAGATGACTTCGAAGATACTACTGATAGCGATGTCAGTAACAAAGAAGGGGAAGAAATTAGCAGTTTTGGGCAAGATTACAGCACTGAAACATTTGAGGACGATGTTGAATAGACTCCATTGAGTGCTATTTTATTAATAAATATTTCGGATTAACTGAATTTTCTCCTTTCAATATTAAGAGAAAAAATGCTTACCATTATAACGGCGTCGATTTGTATAATTGATTGAAGTAATTCTACTGTAGTGGAAGAGGATTGATAAATCTTTTCTAGGATACCTCAAATAACAAAGACTAGTAATACGATGGAGTCAACAATGTCCATTAGAGATGCACTAGAGATGGAATTGGAGGTCAGGAAAAGAGAGAGCGGAAGAACTTTCCATCTTGATGGCAAAATCGCAATCCTTAGCTAAACTAGATTCAAAGCAGACGATGATATCACCTGATTTAGTCCTCCAGCTTGTCGGCGAGTCAAGTTGGAAAGTGCTTGCGTCCAATACAACCCATACCAATTTTGGATGCCTTTTTCCCTCCTACGAATTTGGTCGAGTGCTTAGTCAAAATGCTCGACCTTACAGTATTCCATACATGCCAATTAACTGCTCATCCTCACCACAATGAAATGTTGCAGTCTGCCTAGAAGTTTACACAATGTTTTTTTAACATGTCTTACTTAATTCCACAACTTGTTGCACATAAAGTAGTTATTAATTGGCGAAGTAAGAGAACACATACTGTGCCCTTTAAATATTGACTTCAAAGATTTATGCCTACTTGTAATAGTTACGAATAAACAAAAGCATCTAACATAAGGCCGAAGTCTATTTCAATATAAAATCATTGCCATTGCAGTCTGTTCTTTTAGAGAAGGATATTAATCCAAATGTGCTTTGTTCAGAAGAACATTTAATGCCAGCATACTTAATTTAGATAGACCATTGAAATGAACTTCGTTTGATAAAAGAAATCTCCATACCAGAATCTCCTATATCTGGCAAGACTTCCACAACTAGCAAGGCTGCAGCCTAGCTATAGAGGAAACAGGCAGTTTGCAGGGAACACGTTTATTCAGGATGTGTATTGTGGATAAAGTGTACATGCCATAAGGGCAGTAATAATCAACTCGGCAGATATGCTTAAACAAACGAAAGCCTCTGATTGGCCATTGATTGAGCGCACGTTTGATCACGCGTTAACCCATGACGTGTCCCACAATCTACATCTACTTTAACAGAGGGTGAGTGAGAAATATCTCAGACAAATACCACAATTTATTTATTTAACAAGGGGTGTGCGATAGACTTACCTCCATGTGGTGCACCCTGGGCAACGTATACTTATACGGCAAAAAAGTCTATTAATCGGCAGTTGACTTCTGACTTCAAACTACCATGACTCCACTATATGTCATATTTGACTACTTTCACAGTACTCACCTCACCCTTTTTCTACCTTTGTGTCCGTATGTCTCTTTTACGTCTGTGAATCATTATTCTGTCCCCCCGTCGGACTTTTTGCCACTTTGATGTTCCTCTTCCTTTCTGTGAAGCCCGAAGTCAACTAAAGGGCTAATGATACCTATCACAACGCCTGCCATTTGAAATAAATAAACTTATTTAACAAGTGGTTACAATCATTTTCTACATAGGATCCAATGTGATCTACACAACTTTGAAGTTTATGATTCCATCTCTAAATTGCCTTATCTTAGCTCTGATGTCAAAATTTGCCACTTGAGAGGTTGGAAATCGATAGCTATTTTGAGATGCAATTTGTCTTGGTCCTGACCTTACAAAGACTTATTGGACAGTTATGTGTCATTCGGAAAGCTCAATAAATATATAAGTTCGAACTTGTAAATCTTTGTTCTATTAAAGATAAGACATTTGTCTGAAAAATTTTCACTCACCTCGTAGTAGTAATAAAGTGCGATTGGTACTATTTAGGTTAAAGCGTAAAATTAATGAATATTTATGCATTACCAAACTTCAATTCTCAGACAATAGTAAATGTGCTAAAATCAAATATGCAAACTTAAATAAGCACTCGATTAATGGTAGACTGCAGGCGCGACAATGGCTAATATGATGAATCAATTAAACGTACGAGGCTATTAAAGCATACTAGAATGAATGGCCCCCACCACACGATACCTCCTGTTTTCACTACGTTGGACAAAGACTGGTTAATTTTGAGGGCAAGTGATTCCAGATGACTGCTTGAAGCTAGTTGTGTCTCTCTGTCGATAGCTAGATTTCTAAAATGTTTGCTACGGTGTGGCCAAAGGCCTATTTTTGTGGTTCTCGTGCTAGCCAATCCGTGCCAACTACACACTCACAATGGTCAACAAGATAATAAGACAATCGGAGAGGGGGCGTGCAAGCTCAGCCTGTCTGCGTCTAATCAATAAACACCTCGAGGATATGGTCGTTATGGTGTTCGATTTTCAATAATGTTAAGTTTCCCTCTGTAGCGAAATAGCTATTCAAACGATGATGGGAAGAGATCTACTGCTCTCAAGACAGTGGGAGCTTAAACGCTCTCAACTAGAGTTCTATAATAAATATGGGAAAGATGATTGGCTGACTGATTTAGTACTGATGATAGAGATGGTTGCTTCAGCGACAATTTAAACAGTCAAATACGAGAGAGTAGATAATTACTTCCTCGATAGTTCAGTGCAAATTGGATGAGTCCTAAGAGAGCACAGAAATTATTCAATTACGCATCAAAACGCAATCTTCTGCCAATGTGCGACAGAAAGAATGAAACGCTGGGCTTCTTCGCTATTTGGGGTTTCAAC